GAACACCTAACTTATAAATGTTCGATAACCAACGGTCTAGGGTAAACATGTCAGGTGCCTAGCTGGAGTTGGTCCACGGATGGTTCCTATTGTCAAATAAGCCATAAGTGTGCATTCTGATTCTCTTGTCAGTAAGTATTCTCTATGAGGTTGATTAGTATACTCCCACTAGAAAAGGTAGTGACATAGGTTCCGTTTTTGTAAACTAGTGTAAGTTCAAAATTGGTCAACGAATCGGGCTATTAACGGCAGAGAATCAATGTACGGTCGACTGTGCATAACGATCAGTGATATCAACTACGAAGCCAAAATGGATTTTAAAGTATGCGTAAGGAAAAAAAGGTTTTAACAACAGTGCAATAAACGTTGCTACAAATCTGGACATCATTTTAATTAAAACCATGTTAACTTAAATAATGGATATTCCCTTTTCATTTTTCCCGCGTGATAAGCTCAAACCTTGTCACTCATGGGAAACTTAGGAACCCACGCGAACTAACAGCTAAGGGGAAGAGTGGGAAGTTTCCAATAACCTATGATAAGAATATGGCAAAGGAGCAAATGTATCGTAGCATCCACTACATAGACGCGTTATGTGAATTCTTTAACGGAAATCATAAATATTCTTTCATATACGACTTTGTTAAAATTTACTCTGTAGGCATTGGAAGTGCACTAAGTTCTATTTGCCGAAATTTTCTCGAAAAATGTTCACACTTAACAAATTAACGGCAAAGAGTGCGGCGGCAATGAAATCGAAACCTGTCAAAAGCAACTCGTTTTTGATGACTTTGAGCAAGATAAATGTCAGTATGCATGCGAAGCAGGGGCAGACTACACAAAGGAATACGCACTCTCAAGAGTTCATTGAGCGTTAAAAAAATCCCAGTACTACTGAAAATATAGCACATATTAGGGGTTTTAGTTACACATTGTGAACACCGAACAGCGCTGATCAGCGATGACTTCGAATTCATTAATTTCCTTCGGAATAAAAGCTTAAATAATTAAGATGTATGCCATGAAATCCTAGGCGATGCTGCAACGGTAACTGGTGATGTCTAGCAAAACAATTTCCTGTTTCTAATAACTCGTGACTGGACTTCGTAGTGTTGTTTTTCAGCAAGGCACCTTTTCGAGCCTGGGATAATTTATAGACCGGATTTAAAGGAAGACTTAATAAGTAACGGCATTCTAATGGCTCCTTACTCTGGCCGACTTGAGAGCACTTGTGTACAGAAAGATTCGTAAATAAAAAGTTTTGAATAAATATTGTCTTTTAAAAAGGTAGCAAATCGAGCAATCTACCTGGCCCGAGACATCACGAATCTGTTCAACTGTGGAGACGCCCTTGGAGTCTTTAAAGGACAGGATGTCCCTTGTAATGGTTATCAAATAAGACTCCAGTTCACCTTTGTTCCATACATCAAACACCTAAAAGCGAGTAGAAGGTTGACAAAGTCTGTTTGAACGACAATTTGAACTTCCAAATAAATTATTAATGGAAGGGACAAGAAAAAACGGTGCGGCCTTGAGACTGGATCAGCATCAGCACATAGTGAGCCTCCGTTTAGGAAATGTTTCAGAAAGATTTCTGCACACGAAGCCCTAGAAATTACTCAGAAGTCTGGAGGAAGATTTGAACGCATGACAAATGAGTGGGAGCGTTCGTAAGAAATAAAACAATGGTTTAAAAGAGGCATGTCAAAGCGTCACTGATTTACCTGTGATATTTCGTCAACGGAGAAGCCAAGGTAGCCATAAAGTAGATGGTAAGCTTCGGAAATGAGTTGCATATCACCGTACTCAATGCCATTGTGGACCATCTTTACGAAATGCCCTGCTCCGCCACTGCCAGCCTATAAGATGTTCAAACGCACAGCTGAGGTTGAGTTTAGGGTTCAAAAGATGCGAACATCTATAAACTAAGACCACATCAAACACGGAGTTCAAGTCGTTTTTGCAACGTGAAAGTCAACTGCAGACCTAAGTGTATGTAAAAAACTTCCGCAGCTGAAACTTTTCTGCTAATATTGAGATCAGCAACTTTTACCATCAGGATATGCATAAATCTACTGACATTTATTCCGGTATTACAAGAGTAGACAGTTGTTTCTCAATAGAACGTAAGCGATATTTTTGACTGCTTACTTAATTAGGTCTTGTCGTTTTTACGTGAGAATTAGGCATGCATACATAGGCAAAATCGACGTTTTACAGTTGACGTAAATGATAATTACTGTAACAGTAACGGGATGCGTCATTGTCTAAAATCTGTCCATTTAATGCATTTTGTGCAACTACACGAGAATAAAGCTAAGTAAAGCAATACTCTTTGAGGCAGCCCATAGGGACCGGAGAGGAACAGAAGACCCAGCTTACAAGAAACCCTTACGCAGCCTAACCCTGGTGCTGAATGCAAAAAGGCGTTATATAAAAAACCTAGCCAGGCAAGAGCAATATTGGCAGAACGTGCCAAGACATGGCAAAACAAAGAGACTTGAAGAAAACCTACCCAGTCACAGCATGGTTGGCCATCAGGCGCTTTTGCCGCAACTGACTGGAAAATCTTTTTGATTCGGGGCCTGCAAAAAGAAAGAGCAAAAATAACGCTTAACTTTTCAGGCCATACAGAGGAAATACTATAGCGAGATAATTAACTGTCCGATCTGGAAGATTCGGGCGTTCAGGCGAGTGCATACAGAAATCTATGTCAAAATGAAGGCATTCACATATTATGTTAGGTACACGTCACCACTTAGCTTTTTTGCGATACTGAAAGATCACCTTTGCCCTCTTCTGGTACCCACAATGAGTATCATATCCTTAATTGCAAATTTGCCGGTATTCTCAAAAAATACTGACACTTCCATCTTTCATTGCTCAGT